TCGCAACTTTACCACGTAATATAAAAAAACTTGGGCTATATTTTGAAAATCTGAAAAGAGTTGGCTTATCTAGAGACAATTGCCCGTCGATAGCCGCAAAAATCATGAAAATCGGCCCGGTAGAACGCTGGAACTAAGCGTTACCAGTTTCGCAAAATTAGGAGGTCTTGGAGCTTATAGTATAGAAGATAGATGGTACCACAACATCAAGATGACGGCGCCTTTCTCTTAAATAAAAACTCTTCAAAGTTACCTTCAAATTGAATTGCATTTGCAAGTATAACATGCTCATTATTTTGTTTAAATATAGTGTATGTATGTTCTGTCTCTTTTTCTGCGAACCGGTGATGAAAATACCTGGACAAAGACTGAACACGTGTAAAGGTAGCTAGTTAACACTGTAGGTGTAGGTATTAGAATAAATCCGATCACTTGTCTGATGCAGGCACGTTTTTCCCCTCACGGACAACACAGGAGATTTTTTTCTAGTCTTATATCGCCTCTTCTCCCGGTTTAATTTTGCTCTGACTTTTTTATTTAGAGAAAAATTGACTTCAGTACGTCTTTAGGGTTTGCGGGACTTCGAGAAAAGCCTTAAATTTACTTGACATTTGTCCAATTACTTTCATAGGGTATCGGTATCCCAAAATATCCTGCAAATGCAAAGTTGTCCGAGAAATTAGTCTTCGAAAATTTTCGGGTGCGGAGATTACGAAATAACTACTTAATTGACGTTTTCCAGGGAGACTATAGAGAAAATATAATGACACGTTGCAGCGACGACAGCTTAATCTGGCATTTCCATTTACAACTCGTTTTCTTTCGAAGATGAAAATGCAAAAAAGTCACGTGGCATGACACATATCGTGACGTCATTGTGCCGTGCAAAACTGGAACGAGATAAGGCAACACTGCTGTGCGATAGAGGAAAAAATTGGGATCACGAAAAAAAAGTTGCAAGCGAAGCACACCGCATAAGTACTTGCCGTAGGTACAGGGTTATCAAAGTCACCCACCACCCCTGTAACTTTTTTCCTAATTGAGATAGAAAATTGGAATTCTGGAGATGTTCCTCCCAAAATGTTGGGGGGCGCCCCCTTCCTCCCCAAGGAAGACGGGGCTTAACTTTTTTCCCCAAAAGCAACCCCCCTTTTATGATACCTCATTCGAAAGATAATAAAAAAAGACATTTTTGGCGCAAACCGCAGGTCAAAATGTTGATTTTCAACAAAATTGCGGCCGGTCAAAGTTCAAAATAGGGGAAATGCGGCATGTCCGTTTTTATCCACGGATTGAAATGCTGCTTGGTATACAGTATTTTTTCGAGCCCGGGGAGAAGAACGATTCTTGCAACAGTTTTTCGGGAAGTCTAGTCCTTCTCAAAATGGCGGCCTTCTTAATGGCGACTTAAAGCGGGAAGTTGATATTTAAGCTGCCTATTAGTGCACTTTGCATGATATTTGGTAGGTAATCGGGGGTATTTTGACACAAGAAAGACGAATCTTTCATTGGATTATTCAAATTCTGAACAACTTTAACATAGCGACGAACAAATGGCGGGAACTTGGTAGTACGGCCGTTTACCGATGGATTCGTGGCCATTTCGAAAGTAGTTAATATTACAAAAATTTGACGCGGAAGAGTCATTTTTTTTGAGTCAGAAACCACCAGGGCACCGAGTTTCATGCGAATCCATCAATAAACGGCTGTACTACCAAGTTCCCGCCATTTTTTGTCGCCATGTTAAAGTTAGATAATTTTTTAGTTTTTATTTTTTTATATTATTGGCGTTTAGTTTAGTGATGGAGGCTTGTATAAGAATATACAATACTCCATGATATTCGCAGTGTTTGGCACTCGTGGGTTCTCACTGACCTTGGGGGCCCACCGCGCGCCGCTGTTCCTCTTGCATCTGAATCGCGCACCGTTTCTATCTTCCTCGGGCATGCTTGCGACTCTCCGCGGATTCCAGAATGGACCCCCCCCCCCCCCCCCCCCCCCCCCCCCCCCCCCCCCCCCCCCCCCCCCCCCCCCCCCCCCCCCCCCCCCCCCCCCCCCCCCCCCCCACC